CTCTCTCTCTCTCTCTCTCTCTCTCTCTCTCTCTCTCTCTCTCTCTCACTTTACCCCCACTCTCCTGCTGGAAACACATTCCAGGAACTGACCTAGCTCTGTTGCCTGCATCGTAAGGCCTGACCCTGGGGAGGGAAAGGATGAAGCCTGCGGTCTCCAAGCACTTAGGGGTTCTCCGCCTGAGAAGACCATTTAGCATTCCTGATGGGGTTCGTGGGTACCTGGGGACACCTGGAAGCCCGAGGCAGGGGACTGACCCACTCAGTGCCTCTACCTGACCAGACAGAAGGACACGGAGAGCCGCCGACCTTGTGAAACTCAGCTTCGCTCACATCGGCTTGTGGCTTGGCGTCGCCTTAGTAACTACCACTTCCGGTCCCAACCGGAACTCTAAAAGTCCGTGCTTCCTAAGGTGTGCCCACCCCCGTGTGGGCGGAGAGACGCGGTCCCACCCACCCGGAGACTAATCTGATCCCCGCAGTCCCCCGGGACCAGCGACGTCCCAGAGGACCCACGAGGGAGCGGGAGCAACGCGTGGCTGTGGGTGGGAGCCATGGACGCCTTCATCCGAGTCGCCAACCAAAGCCAGGGCCGGGACCGACTTTTCAGGTGAGTCAGGTGCCGTCGGCCTCCGCCCCGGTCTCTTCAGGACCAAGTATTTCTTCTCCGACAAAGAGGTAATAGCCGGGTAAATCGAGGCAGGAGGAGGCGGCCAGCTCCCACTGAGGAGCTGAGACCCGTGTCCCTCCTCCCTGCGAACCCAGAGGGGCTGTGCGAGCCAGCCACCCCGGTGTCTCTGGATGTGACAGCCGCCCTTGAGTGCGGATCTCCTAACTTTCCTCGGGAGAGGGAAACTGAGCCCCCGCGCTGCTCAACATCTTTCCTAAAGTTTTTTTCCAGAAAAACTTTGGGTTTCTTTTGTACCTAAGGAAACAGAACACCTGGAGATTGGAGCGCCGGTGAAGTCTTATACACGGAAAGACAGATTTGTTTTCCTTATCTTCATTTTGGTCCAGTCTGCGCCTTGGAGATATCAACTGTTATAAAGCTGCTTTGTAAACTGTAAGATGGACAATGGACAACATGTTTGAACGATACCTCCAAAGTACACGGCGTACTTTTGCGATCACAAATGCGTGTTTAAAACTAACCCTACTTCGTTTTTTTTTTTTTTTTTGAAAAGAGAAATTTGAATGCTGCTCGATGATCATTTAAAAGAAAAGGAAAGGGGGGAGGGTGAAACATAGGAGTTTTATTTAACAACTCTTCTCTTCCAGATGTTTAAGTGGCCAACCGCTAATATAAGCTAAACATACAAGTAAGAAAAGTCCTAATGGTGAGACTTGAGGAGCCCTCCATTGCAGCCCTGTGGAGGAGATATTTTAATATTCTAATTTCACATATAGAGAAACTGAACCAGGAGGTTAGAAGGAACTAATGTGACAGAGCCAAAAGATGCAAGTCCACACAGTTGAGTCCAGCGCCAGCCTGACTCTTAGCCATGGTGCCTTTCTGTTTAACTTGATAGATTCTCAGAATGGTTGAATAATATTCATGGTTCATTAAAAGCCAACACATACAATTTTAGTGCGTCCAGAATGTACCGTGCACTGTCTTTAAGATATATAAATTTGCCGGGCAGTGGTGGCACAGGCATTTAATCCCAGCACTTGGGAGGCAGAGGCAGGCGGATTTCTGAGTTCGAGGCCAGCCTGGACTACAGAGTGAGTTCCAGGACAGCCAGGGTTACACAGAGAAACCCTGTCTCGAACCCCCCTCCCCCCAAAAAAGAACCCCCCCCAAAAATATATGAATTCAGCAAAATTTTATTTCCCAACCCTTTTAAGAATCTGTATATAGCCATGAGCAAACAAACACACTAGCGTTCCTAAAATAATGCCGTTTTCAGACCCACTATTGGACCAAACCTGAGAGAGGAAGCTGTGTGACGAACAGTGTGAGCCTCTGGCCAGAGAGTGAATTCTGTCTTCTAGTCACCCTTGTTCCCTCTTTTTTACTTTATTACAAAACTAGCTTGTCATTGTGGAAAATGTACCACTTTGGGAGGATTGGTTTATGTATTTTGAGAAAGTCTTACTGTGTAGCCAAACTACACCACAGTTCTCTTCTCTCAGTCTTCTGAGTGCTGGAGTTGTAGACAGCCCTGTGCCACAATTCTACTGAGAAGAATATTTAAATCATGCAGTGATGCCAGTGCAGTTTGCAGTTCTAAGACAGTAGGGACCAGCACCCACTGATTTTTGTTTGTTGTTGTTGTCCTTTTGTTTTGTTTGAACAGAGTCTCACTATATAGCCCTGGCTGACCCAGAATTCTCTATGTAGACCAGGCTGGGCCTGACCTCAACAGAGATCTGCCTTCCTCTGCCTCCTGAATGCTGGGAACAAAGGTGTGCACCACCACACCCAGCCCAGCACCTACTTTAATTAAGTAGGCTGCAGATGCATTTGGATGTCTGTGATTCTAATTTATTTGTTGTATTCACCACCATGTTGTTGTTATCATAGCTGGTGTGATAATAATCAATTTATTGAGTGTATTACTATGCTGGTGTGTAGTTGGTCCTTAAGGTTTAACAACTGAATGCTGAGACTGGATTCTTCACTTGGTTTTTTTGAGTTTGCTTCCTGTCACATAAGTAGTCAGTTTAAACTATGTGGCAGATTTTTGTTCGTTTTAGAGATCTGAAAGTCATTCCATATAGGGGCACATAGCAAATGTGAACCTTTGTGGAGCTGAGAGACATCTCTGTGCATCCTCTCACTTTGAGTCCGTCCATTTTTCTGTGCCAGCAGAGGGCTTTGGGGGAGCTACACCCTGCATGACTGCGGAGTCCTCTTCCCTAACCTTTGTGTCCCATTCCCTCCACATGCTCACCCTTTGGCCCTCCTGTGCAAGGACTATTGCAGAATGCTGCTTTTGTAAGAGCGTCAGCATGAGAAACCTTCCCAGAAGTTCTGCCTCAGCACGATGCTTCTCTTTGCTTTTTGATATGTTTCTCCTTCCCTTCATGAGTCAAACTTCATTTGGTTTGTAAACCACTTTCCTCGTTTTTTTTTTTTTTTCCATTTCAGAGCCACTCAGCATGCATGCATGTTGCTTAGATATTTGTTAGAGTCTAAGGCTGGCAGAGAGGCGCTGGCAATGAAGCTCAAGAGTCTGGAGTCCAGTGTGAGCGCTGGCCGTAAATGTAAGTACCTGTCTCTCGAGGGACGGTGGCTTCTGGTTTGAAAACCTCTGACCCTGGAGTTTACAACATGCTTTCAAGGTCTTCATTTCCAGTCACCCAAGTCTACAAGGAAGCTGACAGCAGCCCTGTCTGGAGACCCCAAGAAGGTTGAATGGTTTGCTGTAGAGCATTCACACATGTCTCCCTCTGTTTGCATTTGGTGCCATACCATATCCTCCTGCATAGTTATAGCCAGTGGGGCACACAGTATGCCAGTTCACATCACATAGTCATAGCCAGTGGGCACACAGTATGCCAACTCACATTGGTTCTCAGAATGTATTAGCAATGCCCAGCATGAGCTTTGGCCTAGCATCAGGCCTTACGTTCTATGGAACAGGATAGCCATATCCTAGACCACGTGCCTTTCCTCCTCCTCTCTTGAGGATTAGTGGAGGATCTAGATGAATACAGTTCCCTAGACTGCATGCCAGGTAGCTCTGTGAAAGGCAAAGAGTGCAGGCAGGGGTTGTCCTGACCAATACTCTTTCGTCCTCATCATCCTGGGAAACCCCGTGCTTCTCAGAGCAATTGCCTGCCTGACTCCATTGTTTGCTGGATAACAGATGTTTCAACAGTAGGTCAGCAGACATATCGGGATGACATGTAGGTCACCCCATAGTGATGAGTTGTGTGGAATACCTGCTTTATAAAGGCGCATGCCTCAACTTTATGGGACAGGTAAAGAGTCACGTTATAAATTATACTCAGTGCCAAATATGATGGCTGGGGCAGAGGGAAAAAAATATTTTGGAGGAGGTATGATTTAAGTTGTGGCTGGAGAAACAGTTATCTAAAAGGGAGATTTCCCCCAGCAGAGGCTCAGGACTGTTAGAAGCAAAGCTTGTCCTTACAACATGCTCTCACAGGGGATCAGTGTCAAACGGAAAAACTGGTTTGGTAGAGAGACACTTAAATAGTCAACAAGAGGATAGGGAAGGGTTGAGTAAGATTTCTGGATGGCTCTGAAGGCCAAGATATGAAATTCTGCCATAAATTCTCTAGAATGTCATTGCTGAGGTGTCCTTTAGAGTTTCACTGGCTTGAAAGTCCAGAAAGTACTTAATCCCATGCCATCCAGCTGGCTGGAATGAGAACTGGAACGAGAACCCGAAACTCCAGTTTGGAAACGGCCATTTCATATACTGCTCTGGAGTATGTGGTAAAATAATGTCAAGTACTCTTGTGGGATTGTATGTGTTTGGAGAGTAGCCGCCTCTGGGCGGTTACTAAGCCAAATGACTCATCTCCGGGTGCCCCGTAGACACCTATGCATGGATGACCACTAATTGACTGATTGCATGCTTGCATAAGGACACATTACAGTGGTTGGTTAAGTTTCACTTAGGAGTGCCACATGACTGCCGATCACTGCAGCCACTCAGTCCTGCCGTTCCTCTTCGCTCTTCTTCCATAGGCAGGCTAGGGGATAGATGATAACGCTGCTTTGCCAAAGGCGCCCTTTTGATGACGCCTTAGTCCCTGTGTAGTTGCTGTGAAGAAACATGATCAAGCCAGCCCTCGCATTTAATTGGGGGCTTGCTCACAGCTTCGGGGACTTAATCTGTTACAGTCATCATGGCTGGAAACGTGGCTACAGGGAACATGGTGGCAGGCAGGTGTGCTGCTGGAGGACTGGCTAAGAGCTCCGTCTTGATGGGAGGTGGGGGGACAGGGAAGGAAGAAGAGGAAGGGGTGGTATGGGGGTGGACAACTGGACCTGGGCTTGGGCCTGGGCTCTCGAAACCCCACCACCCCACTCCCTAGTGACAAACTTCTTCCAGCAAGGCCATACCTCCTAGTCCTTCTAATCCTCAAGGAGTCCCACTCCCTGTGACTAATGCCCTGTTGTGGGGAGGAGGAATCATTCTTACTTAAACCACCATAAACGGGAAATCAAACGTGTGAGAGTGTTGGACCCGGAGGTCATGTTAACTACTCTTTCCTTCTGAAGTCTAGAGGGGAACACACATCCATGATAGCCTTGCCTGGAATATACTGGAAATGAATGCTAAGGCACACCTTGGAACGAGATGAGAAGTTGTCAAGGTCACTGTCTCTTGGGCTTTGCAGGATCACTGTAGGGCTTCTTTCCTCCACTAAGACTGAGCTTCACCTGACATCAGCTGCTGTGTTCTCAGTCCTTAACTCGCCATAGGACTTCTGCCTCCCAGTAAATACTAATAAAGTCTTAATTCTGTGGGTTCTTTTTACAGGGTTCAGACTAGGCAACGTGCTCCATGCCATCCAGGCAACTGAGCAGAGCATCCAAGCCACTGATCTTGTGCCCCGCTTATGCCTGACATTAGCCAACCTGAACCGCGTGGTTTATTACATCTGTGACACTGTCCTCTGGGCGAAGAGTGTGGGTCTTACCTCTGGAATCAACAGAGAGAAATGGCAAATGTGGGCAGCCCGCCACTACTACTATTTCCTCTTGCTGAGCCTGGTCCGGGATCTGTATGAAATCTTGCTGCAGATGGGACAAGTTGCACGTGACAGAGCAGAGAGAGAGAAATCTTCCCGGGACCCTCCTAAGTACAGCGTGGCTAATGAAGAAAGTGAATGGCTCCAGTCCTTCCTCTTCCTCCTATTTCAGTCTCTAAAGCGACATCCTCCCTTGCTCCTGGACACCGTGAAGAACTTCTGTGACATCCTGATCCCTTTGAACCAGCTTGGGATCTACAAGTCCAATCTCGGCGTGGTCGGATTTGGAGGCCTCGTGTCTTCTTTGGCTGGGCTCATCACTGTAGTGTACCCTCAGCTGAAACTGAAGGCCCGCTAGGGAGTTTGGAAGCTTTAAGGCTAGCAGTTCAGTGGAACAAACATTAGTTTTTGTCACGATGTCTACTTAATTTTTTTTAATCATGTGAGCATCTTACCAACCTGTGATGTGAGCAGAGGTAGGACCAACAATGGTGCATGAAGACTGATATGTTTTTTGTAAATGCTGCAGTAACTTCTGAACATTTTCCCTTCAGCTAACATTACTGAGCATCTTTTACATAAATAGTAAGAGCTTATGCTGAACAAATAAAGATGGAAAGGAAAGAAATCATAAAAGACCCAAAGAAACAAGAATTACAGATCGGGTTGCATGGGTCCTTGATTTCACACAAGCACATCAGGGCTGGAGCTCAGCACTCCTAGCTCTGGTTAAGGTTTCCCTTTTCTCCCGTCTGTTGTTATCCCCCGTCCCCACAGATGTCAGTAGTGGGATGGAGGGGAGCTGGGCTCAGAGCCTCTTAACCTGTTGGCCCCGGTCACTGCCGAAGTCACTGCCGCAGTTGTGTCCTGACCATGTCCAGAAGTAGACCCAGAAAAACATCACCACCTTTGCAGTGGAAGCTGTGTGCACAGGTAGTGCTATGAGTAAACAAGAAAGCACCGGAGGGGACCAGAGGTGAAAGTAGGTGGGAGGTCACTGCTGTCTATTACATAATCCATCACAGATAAGGAAGTTGACAGTACAAAACAAAGCCGATGGCACAGCTTCATTCTGAGGCTTACCAAGATGATTCCTGTGACCTCCTGACCTCCAGCAGCGTTTCCAGGCTCAGAGCCCTTTACCCCTTAACATGCCCCCCACCCCCACCAGGCCTGGAAGTTCAACTGATGGTCTGTGTTCTAGTCTCTGAAGCACAAAGCAATGGAGGCTCACCCAGGTTGGTTTTATTTAAAGCTATATAACAGTTTGGGCAATTCCACAGTAATCTTTATCAAAATAAGAGAATTAAAATTTTTCTGTCTACGAATGTAGGAATGTCAGTTTTCTGCGACAAACCCGATTTTCTCAGGACAACTGGGAGGGACAGGAGAAAGAGCAGTAGGGCCAGTGGAGAGGACGTGGGGCCGAGTCAGTGCATTTGCCCATGCTCGCTCTTCATGGTTCAGTCTTCCTGTCTTGAGCTTGGTTAGTTTAGTGTGTGGAGTGGGAGACACTGGCCAGCAGGTGGGCGTGTGTCAGCACCTACAAAGCCACGTGTATTTAGGTGTTAATGAGAACTATGCACTAAGTAGCTGCTTCCCGTGAATGTGAACAAGAGTCTTGAAAAGTGGACTCAGGCCCTTGGCACTCTATTTTTAAAATGATAATGTGCTTTGAAAAAACTTTTTTTGGAGAGGAGGGGTCATTGAGATAAAGTGGCTAAAACAAGACAAATACCAGCAAATTCCTATTTGTACCGTAACATTAATTATGTCTAATAAATTTCTAGATAAAATTGACTCATGCGTCTGTGAACGTGTCTGGATTGGAGTCCGTGGGAGCTCAGGAATGACAAGGTGCAGGACCGGGAGGAAGGCACAGGGACTATGTCGAAGCTCTGGGTTGAGAGGTTCCCTGGCATTGGCTGGCCAGCTTCTTCCTGTAGAAGCCTGCCTGGAGTGCATGGCAGTGTTTTGTAGGTATCTGTTTTGGTACCTTTAGATCTTACACGTTAGAGAAGGTGTTGGGAGGGTGGAGAACTGCCATCTTCTAGAGTCTGTAAACCTCAGTGGGCCCTGCTATCTCATCCTCGGATCTTCCTCCTCAGCGAGCCCTTTCTACCTGGGTCCACGTTTGTGAGGGATTTCAAACACCGGCAAGCCCCGAGGGGCTGTGTAGCTGGACCTGTGGCTACTTTGTGAGTTTTTTCTCTTCCACCCTTTTCTACCCCTCTTCTCCCCTTTCAACCCCAACAGTAGGTAGGAGAGAAAGAAATGCCTGAATAAAGTCTGGGGTAGGAAAGAGGGCGACTATATCATTATTAGACTTCTCCCTGCTGATTAGGGGCACTGAGTTCCTGGGGGCAAGTTTGAGCTTCACCTTCAGGATACCTATTTTCTTCTTTTTGTCTCTGCACACGACTACTTGGCAAACCACAACCAACAGCATCCAAGCATGCGGCAAATCATAGTCACCGGCTGTGAAGCAGTCCTACATCCCCAAACCTGGAATTAAAAGGAAAACATTCCCATACTAGTTCTGTGTTTTTTAAAGAAACCAACTTTGTCAACCACAGGGCTATACAGGACAGCACACCGACAGTTTGAGCATTGCTGCCAAGCACTGACACAGCAAGCATATGGGTGGCTGCTTGGCTTGGGGAACCCACCTGTGCACAGAACGGCCAAGATCCCTGCTCTCCCGCAGTAGAAGGAGGGGAGCAGCATGAGATCGCCCATCTCTGCCCATCCCCCTGTAGCGGAGAACTGCCTCTCGCCCGCCCTCGCCCTTAGGATTTGCCTGGCTCTTTCCCTTGTCACCTTTCACCTACATCCTAGAATCAGCCAAAGGACCAGCTTTGTCAGCAGAGCTTTCAGGCACAGAGCCCTATATCCTCTCTGGCCCAAAGCCATAGCCCGGGAAGGGAGGCTGCCCTTTAGCCTGGGCTGTGTCCAGATGCAAGCCTCCCAGATTGCTTGTCCTGAACCTTGAAGCAAAGGCAGAGGCCACTTTACACGCTTCCCTCCTTCTCCACTGCTGTCTTACGGCCCAAAAGCTCAGATTAATAAGTATCAGATGCTTCACAGATTTATCACCTCTTTTGGAAGCTCCTTGCTCCACACCCCCTCTCTCCTGGCATCTTGTTCCCTGTTTTATTATACTGAAGATAAAATTTACTACCAAGGATCTCTCTGTAGCTGTTTCTCACACCCTTACTGTTATTACATTTATGCATGTATTTGGTGTGTGTGTGCATGTGAGTGTGCACACTTGGACACACACACACACACGCATTCTTATACACGTGCTCAAATGTCATAGCATACATATGAAGGTCAGAGGACATGTGAAAGGTGACAAGGGAAAGAGCCACGGTCAGTTCTCTCCTCCAACTCTGTGGGACCCAGGGATCAAATTCAAGTGGTTGGTCTTAGTAGCAATCACCTTGACCTGATGAGCCATTTTGGTGACCTTACCCAGTGCTTTTCTATCCTGTTACCCACGCTAACAACTTAATAGACTCAACAGCATACACATCTGCTAAGCAGTGACTAACAGTGTTTTCCTCTTATTCATTGTGATTAAGAGGCCCTTTCTAGTCGGTCTGAAGACACCAGTTGGCACCACAGTGTTCCATCAATTTTAATCAGGGACTAAAATTTGAGGTTGGGTTGAGTCCCTGTTGAGGAAGGAATAGCAATGAATAGTTCTTGGCTGTCTAGGTACCACTGGTTGACAAAAACAATCAACCAACCAACCAACCAACCAAACAGACAAACAGACAAACAAACCCAGCTTGTCAACACCTTTACTTGTCCAGACTTAGGTGAAGAAAACCAAATAGTTCTCCTTCTTGTTCTAGTGGTGTCTCAGGCTAAGTAAAATTTCATCCCTCCTTCCCTCTCTCCTTCCCTCTGCCCCTCTCTCTCTTTCTCTCTCTCTCTCCCTCCCTCCCTCCCTGTCTCCCTCCCTGTCTCCCTCCCTTTGTCCCTCCTTCCCTTTCTCCCTCCATCCATGCCTCCTTCCCTCTTTCCTTTCCTCAGTGCTGAAGATCAAAACCAGGGCCTTCAACATGTGAGGCAAGCCAGCACTCTGGCATGGAGCTCTGCCCTCATCCCCTAGCTTTCTGATACACAAGCTTGCTATTTATATTTAGCTCAGGCTACCCTCAAATTGTCAATTCTATCTCAGGCTCCTGAGTTCTTAGATTACTGGCATGTGTCACAACATCCAGCTTCAAAATGTTTTCTTTAACTCTGGAGCTTTACAGAGGATGAAAAGACTCCCTCAGTGCCCAGGTTGCTAAGAACTCAACTCTCACCACTCTATCTTGTCTTTTTATTATTATTATTATTATTTGCAGGTAATTAATCTTGATAGCTGTAGACTAATACATTAAAGTGAACCCTATCCCTGTATGGGTTTGAATCATGCTGTTCAATAGTCATCCTTGCTAGCAAACAAGAAAGGATGGGATAATGTTTGTATATTGTCCCCTAGAAACTTCTCAGGAAAGGGACCAAAGATTATGGAATTACATGTAACTTTTGGAGTTTAGGAGTTTAATGACACACATCGCAGTAGCTTCTTTATGGAAATCAAGTTTTGTCAATTGAAAGCCAGAAATATTCTGGAATATCATCTCTGGGCTCTGACAAATGAGCCCTCCCTCTCTGAGAACCACCTCTTTGTTGGCTAAGCATCCCCCCCTAGAAGTTAGGATGAGCCCAGGGGACACCCTGGGTCAGACAGCTATGGCAATGGGCTGGCCCAGCCTTCTCTTCCTCTTTGCCCTCCTCTAGCTGGGAGGTCTGAGAGGCATTGCCCAAGATTCCCTGGAGTGGCTGCAAGTGTTTCTGAGGAGGAGACCTTCCACAGCTGGGTTGTCTGAGACTGAGGTGGCTGTCAGCTGCTGTGAGTGTGGGGTTCTTGGGTGTCTGCCTTACCTGGCTGCTTTCTTGGTGTTAAAGACAAGGAGCTGGGAGAAAGAGCATCTGGGGGAAATTACCAAGGGATGCAGAGACCTGCAGGGAGACCCCTGAGGAAAAGAATGAAAGACCACGGGCACAGAGGGCCTGTTGACTTACCCAGAAGACAGCTCTTTGAGAGAAGGCTTAACCTAGCTGGCAGTAGAGGGCAACAGGAATTAACTAGAATTTTGTTCTGAAGAAAAGACTAAACTCTACCCAACACTCGTTCTTCAGTCTCTCTTTGAGGAGCCCCAGATTTTGTCCTAAACTGTTTCTCATCTCAGTATCTTTATCTCATTACCAACATTTTCATTTATCTTGAGCCCTTTAAAAAAAAAACATTAATTTTTAGCTGATCACGGAGCTCATTTTGAGCAGATAGGCGACTCGTTGTATTGGGACTTCCAGGAGCAGCCTCCCCTATGTGTCATTTGACCTCCAACCTAGGCCAGCTGAGCTCCCAGATGGTGAGAGGGTAGCTGTGAGAGGCAGGGAGGGAGCCTGTGGAATACAAGCCTGCGGGCTTCTGATGGATCTGGGATTCTGCTTTGCAGCGTGGACAGTAAGGATGTCAATGAACAAGGGCCCAACTCTGCTGGATGGAGACCTCCCTGTAAGTGACCTGGGCTCCTGTGAGGTGGGGAATGGGTGACCAAGAGGGGAGGGATAAACAGACAGGAGCAAGATGTCTACCTTGGGTTCCGAACTCACTGTCCGACTTTTTCCTGTCCTTGCCACCTTTCACAGGGGTATTTGGGAGAACTGGGGGTAGAAAAGATGGCTATCGAGGTCTAAGAGCTGTGCAGAAAAAGATAGGAATGCTGGCTGGGGCCTCAGGAGAGACAGAGGGAAAGAAACCACCTGGTCCTAAACTCAGAGGCGCAAGTCCACCACCCAGAAGAATGTGTGTGCCCTACAGAGCCCATGCATTCTGTGGCTTTGGCTTCAGCCTGTGACCCTCATCTGCAGCACAAAGCCTGTGCTGCCATGCGTGGGAATGGATTGGGAATTTAGTGTGTCCAGTGTTTAGCTCTGGCTCTGTTTTCACCATGATTTTGAGTAATTCTGATACTTTTATGTGTCCTTGACATCTTTTGCCAAGGCCTCTCTAATCTGGACCCAGTTCAGATAGTGAAATCCAGATGTATGACCCTGGAAGAGCTGAGACTCACTCCAAATCAGGCTTTAACTAAGCTTTATACTGGGGGCAACTGCCTTGTTTTGTACTAAATCATGAGAGAGGTGTCAATGAGTCCGGAGAAACTTCAAACCTTCTAACTAATGACTAGTGGCTTCTTCCATTTCCGGCTCATTTCTCCTTTAGCTTTGTCGGAAACAACCCTTGAATGCTCTGCCCAAAACATTAAAGAAGGTGTTTCCTCCTGTAGTCAGAATCCCTTGATGGCTCTGTTAACTCAGCCTCCTGTAAGCAGAGCAAGTCACAGGAAGCATCTACAGTGAACTTCAGGGAAGATTAAGATGTTCCAGGCACCCGACCAGTATCCAGGAACACTAGAGCTGCCACTGAATGTAGCTTCCTACCCCATGATGAGAATTGCTCTCTCACTCACAGATTGGGCTTTTTCTACTTTCTAAAGTTTAATTATGCAAGAGCTGACAAAGCAAAATGTTTTGATAAAAGTATGGCATCTGAATAAGAAGAGATGACCCCAGGACACCCCACAGCTCACTGGACTGCCAACTTAAACACGGAGTGTCGTATTTTAAGAAAGGCCATGCCAAACTTTAGGGTGTCAAGAGGAAAAGATCACAGGTCCATCGAGTGACTGACCCATTTATAAACTAAGATAGGAACTGGCTAGGCAGTGGTGGTGCATGCCTTTAATCCCAGCACTTGGGAAGCAGAGGCAAAAAGATCTCTGTGAGTTTGAGGCCAGCCTGGTCTATAGAGTCAATTCCAGGACAGCCAGAGCTACATGGTGAGACTCTATCAAAAAAAGAAGGGGGGGCTTTACTTGAACATTTTACAAGGTGCAGCCCTCTGTGTGGCTTGTTTCTCCAGGGTTAGGCTTTCAGACAGGCACTGGAGACTAGAGGCCGTTCTACTGGGAGTAAAGGAGACATATACACATAATCAGGACAGGGTGGCAGAGCAGCCCAAGGACAGACACAACCATGATGGAAGACAGTCGAAAGTTGATTCTAGTGACGCACGACACATGCTTGTAATCCCAGCACTGGGAGATGGAATCAGTAGGGTTAGGATCTCCAGCTCATCCTCAAGTATGCACCAAGTTCAAACGCATCCAGGGATACGTGAGATGTACATCACCTGTCTCACAGAGATGGTGATAGTGAGGGAAGAATATTCTATCAAGTCACAAGGGATGTGGGAGTGGAGGAGAGCCTATTTGGCAGTGGTCCAGCATCCATAGGCATGGGTCCAGCACCTCAGAAAGACCATGAAAATGTTTAGATGAAGATACTGGTTGAAGGTGGACTACAACCCCCAAGCATTGACTTTCTCTCTGTAATCAGTCTACAAGGGATGAGCTGGGAGTGGGGATGGAGTTTGACTTGGTTCCTAGAGACTGAGGACTTCTCAAGAGTATAGGTGGTGACTGGGAAGGCGTGGCAGGCTGGGTCCCGTTTTCCCTGTGGGCTTCCTCGTGTTCTCATGAACGGGCCATTTGGAGATACCTTGCTTCCCTTAGACTTGGGTTGGCCTCGCCGACGACATGCATGATCCTAGCAAGAGTCAGCTCTCGAGGAGGTTGATTGGGGGTGGGAGCATCTGACTCTTTCTTTGCTGACAGGAGCAGGAGAATGTGCTCCAGAGAGTTCTGCAGCTGCCTGTGGTGAGCGGGACCTGTGAGTGCTTCCAGAAGACTTACAACAGCACCAAAGAAGCCCACCCCCTGGTGGCCTCTGTGTGCAATGCTTATGAGAAGGGTGTACAGGGTGCCAGCAACCTGGCTGCCTGGAGCATGGAGCCAGTGGTCCGCCGGCTGTCCACCCAGTGTGAGTCCTCATAGAGCTCCATGGCATCCTGCCCGTCCAGTGATCCTTTCTGCGCGTCTGCCTGTCTGTTTGTCGGTCTTTCTGATCATCTCACAGTTCGTTTGTCCACTTCCCTGACTGCTTCCCTTGCTTGCCTATATCAACTTCCTGGTCATCTCCTCTACAGACACGTGCCTATACTTGCCTCAGCTGTAGCCCAGCCTATAAAGAATGTCCGGGAGTGGGGCGGGGCTGGGGGAAGGTGGGCAACTCTCTGTGAGCAGCAGTGAGAGTAGGGCCAGTGGCAGGACATTTAGCCAACCCCAACTCCAAATGCAACAGAAGCAGCAGTATCACAAACCAGCAAAATCTCACAGGAAAACTGGCCTAGCAAAGCTGAAGGCTTAAGGAGAGAGAAGGCCCACTCACCCAGCTGCTGCTGATACTGGCTCCCGACAAGTGGGGGCAGCAGAGAGCTACTGGTGGCAAAAACAAGGGTCCATCCAGGTGAGCCTTAAGAGGCTCGCCCCATCTCCGTTATTCTGCCTCCATCTCAAAGTATGGTGGTCCCGAAGACTCAGCTTTTGGCAGGACGCGGGGGAACTCTTAGCAGCACTGAGAAATCTAGCATCTTCTACCATCCTGTTAGAGGCTTGCGAGTTGTGAGAATTCTACCCAGCACCCAGGCAAGGAAGACTTAGAGCTCCACTTAAAATCTGTGGTCACGTAGATGGTCCTGGTTGAATTCTGTGAGCGACAAAACAAAATGACAAGGACATGAGAAACGAACATGGGGATTGACAAGAGTGGGAGAGCAATTGAGAAGACCCAGGGATAAGAGTGAGAAAATGCACCATATGCATAAATAAAGTTGTCCAAGGAAAAACACATTCAGCTACTGATAGCAAGATAATAAAAATGTCTCAGGCCCTAGGCTAGCCCTCCTGGAAGCCCTCATTCTGTTCAATCAGAAGACAGCCAAGTCCTCTGGGCACTTTGTTACTTGAAAGAAACATGAAAGAGGATCTATAAATACCCTTTGAATCTGTGCCTTCCATGACCTTGACCACAAAGCCTGCACCCTCAGCAGACCGTGGGCAGTCTCCTGTCTGCATCCTCTGTGGCTTGTCCCACTCCCAGGGGCAACTTCTTTCTCCTCCCTGTCAGCTTTCAGCCATCTTGACAGTTGGAGGTTAAAGCTGGTTCTAGGGAGAGACTCTGGCTGTGAGTTCATCATCTCCAGGACTAAGTGAACCTGGTCTCACTGAGGCTAGTGCAAAGGCCCCGGTGCCACCTTCCTCACGTCCACATAACCCTGAATGGAGAGGCGGGGAGGGAAGAGAAAAGTGCTTGGTGGTCATTCATAGAACAGCCATCACTCAGCACAGGTTTGCCTATCCAACCGCGGAACCAGAGCCTGATGGTTCTGACTCCTGACAGGAGGGGGCAGCAGAGAGCTACTACCCAGGACCCTAGCGATTAAAGAATAGGAAGTCTTACCAGACAGAAGGGATTGCTAAAGCCACTTGCTGTATAAGTGGAGGTGCGAGGCCTTGATCACAGGTCCCACCGACTCCAAAATGACCCTGCTCTCAAGGAATCATAAGTACATGAGGGTTAAATATAACAAAGACTCTCTGGTCCCCAAATGCCCTGGAAGCAGCAGGGCTGGATCTGTGGGCTCCATTGTACTTTCTTTGAGACGGAGGCCACTGTTAGTTCCTCAGGAGCAGGCAGGGATCACCCCAGCGTGGCCCTTCCCTTTCAGTCACAGCTGCCAATGAGTTGGCCTGCAGAGGACTGGACCACCTGGAGGAAAAGATCCCAGCGCTTCAATACCCTCCAGAAAAGGTGAGTCCTCTCTTCCCTGGTGCTCCCTATACTCCGTTGGGACCTCTTTTCATGGAGAACAACTGACAGTCTGACTGTGCAACTTTCTGTGTTCATGGGGATGAGTAGAGACCCCTCTTCTTCCTGTGGGCCCAGGTAGAGTTGGGGTGTCTGGGATAACAGGTATGTGCCTCAGACAAGCTCAGATAGACACTTTTATGGTCCTCAAAAGGAAGGAAGGGCTACCTTAACAGGACCCTTCCATAGTTGCACACCTTTCTGAATCCCTGGCCCCGGGATCTGAGACTCTGTGTGCTTGCACAAGGCTACTTGTCGAGAACAGCTACCTAAGAGCTTGGGTCCCACTCCATGAGATCTCAGGATTACGCACATGGCCTTGAAATCCGACCTTTTAAGGACCACGAGACTAAAGAAGTCACTTCCCCCTGGGCACACCTTTATCTACCTTTATCCAGTGCTGGCTTCAGTAAGGCCTATGACCTCGTGTGTTTTACTGAGCAACCACCAATCTTTCTTACAAATCTCCCCTGCGCCCTGACCTTGCCAACAGCCACAGCACGGGCTTCATAGAGTCCTCATGGGTCATTCTTGGTAATGAACTTTGCTACCCACACTGTGCAGATGAGTAAACGGCCTGAGGTGAGGGCCACTAGGGGGCAGGCCTGCTAGTCGCCTGCTCTCTGGTACTCCAGATAGTCAACTTGTCTTTGCTAGAGAGGTGCTCCCAGGGTCTCTCTCAGGAGGAAGAAGGTTAACTACCCCACTGTAAAACTTGGACCAGTCGGTGCGAACAGTGTGTGAGGGAAAGACAGAGGAGCAAGGGTAGGGCTTCAGAAGAGGGGGTGCCTTGTGTGAATGAAGTGAATCAGGACAGGTGCCAACAGGCAAGGCTTTGGCTTTGGGGCTATCCTCTAAGGCCAGCTCTTCAGGTATTGTGGAGAAGCCAGGAGACCCAGGTAGCTAGTACAGCAAAGGTCGGGGTCTTCTCTTCCCACATATTATTGCTGGTTCCTGAGTCTTATCATCATCATCACCATCACCATCACCATCACCATCATCATCATCTATTTCTTTCGGGTTTTTGAGACAGAGTCTTATAATGTAGCCCAGGCTGGTCTGGAACTCACTATGTAGCCAAAGGTAGCACTAACTCTTGGTGACCCTTTTGTGCCAGTCTCCAGTCCTTACATTACAGGTGTGTGCTGCCATGCCTGGCCCTGGGCCTTTAAATAGGGCCCTCCAGGGAGCTGCTGGGCTCAGGGCCTGTGAGGGATTCCACATAGCTGACCATCTCCCAACACTCCTCAGATCGCCTCTGAACTGAAGGGCACCATCTCTACCCGCCTTCGAAGTGCCAGGAACAGCATCAGTGTGCCCATTGCAAGCACTTCTGACAAGGTTCTGGGGGCCACTCTGGCCGGCTGCGAGCTCGCCTTGGGGATGGCCAAAGAGACAGTGGAATATGCCGCCAACACCCGAGTCGGCCGACTGGCCTCTGGAGGGGCTGATCTGGCTCTGGGAAGCATCGAGAAGGTGGTGGAGTTCCTCTTGCCACCAGACAAGGCGGAGTCAGGTATCTACTGTTCAGACTGGCTGGCTTCCCTGGGAACCAGCTGGCTGCTCAGCCCCGAGGATCAGTGGAAGGCTGCAGGTCTTATTGGCCCTGCTCTGGGATAGGGAATGTTCCTCAGAATCTTCAGAGGATTCCCAGGCTTGAGTTCCCCCACCCCAAATGTAAGAGCTTGGCATTGGCTATCACCAGTGGGGTCATGGTTTTCCACCTCAAGGTCCATTTCTTATTTTGCCCCTCAGGCCCTCTTTGATCTGTTTCCTCCCATATTGTTATCTAGCCTCTTCTTCTGGAAGGCAGAAGACCCAGAAGGCTCCCAAGGCCAAACCAAGCCTCGTGAGGAGGGTCAGCACCCTGGCCAACACTCTTTCTCGACACACCATGCAGACCACAGCGTGGGCCCTGAAGCAGGGCCACTCTCTGGCCATGTGGATCCCGGGTGTGGCACCCCTGGTGAGTGTCTGCTCTGAGTTCTGCCTGGCCCTGCTCTGTGGCTTTCCTGGTCCCTTCTGTCTTGGAAACATCCTTCAAGCTGGACTGGGACTTTAGACATAAAGCCAGGGGTCCTAAGAGGATGGTGGACTAGTTTGTCTAGGCCATGGAAGAAGAAAAAGGACATAATGCAAACTGAGGGGTGGTCCTGCCCCACCACCTTGCCTCTGAGTGTCTCTGACTCCTAGCCTTTATGACCCCATGTAGGCCTCTTACGTTTGCCTTCCCACCCCCGTTTGCTATCAAAACAGTAGACGTGTCACTCACAAACAAAAATCGTAAAACCTGTTCCATGGACGAGAGACCTGCTAGCTATCATCTCTCACTATACAGATTTCCAGTCCTCCCTTCTAGGGTTTTTAGCTTCCCCAGTACACTCAGGCAAAGCTGCTTCTCTATTCATCTTGATACAGTTAGGATGATTTTTAATTTTTTTAAAGGAACTTAATGAGAAACTAAATTGGAAAAAAAAGGAAAGAAAAAGCAAGGGGGAAAAAGCAATATTAAAGTCAGGTGTGTTAGAACATACTGTAATCTCCACAGTTGGGAGGTAGAGGCAGGAGGATTTCTTCAAGTTTGAGATCATTCCTGTCTATAGAACAAGTTCCAGACCACACAGAGCTGAATGGTGAGAAGTCATTTCAAAAGACAACAACAAAAGATCCTCTACAAATAAACAGAAGACCAGAGACAAATAACAAAATTAGAACTTGGAGGTGGGTCTAGCCTGGGCATACGTGAGACCAAATATTCATAGGATTTCAAGAAGAAAAAACCTGGAAGTCAGCGGGAAAGGACGACTGCTTTTCAGTCATGAGAAAGGTCCCTTTACTTTCATTATCTTTTAAGCTTTCATTGATTGATTTGGTTTTTTGAGACAAGGTCTGATTCTGTAGCCCAGGTTAGCCTTGAATTTGTGGCAATCCTCTTGGCTCAACCTTCCAAGTGTTGAGATTACAAGTGTTTCCCATCACATCCAGATGTGAGTGTTTCCCATTACATCCAGATGTGAGTGGTTCACTTTTCAAATTGTTGTTTTATTATTACTCTGTGTGTCATCTCCTCCACTCTTTCTGAGATATGGATGGATGGATGTCACGGGGGCACTAGTGCCAAGGTCAAAAGCAACTCTCGGGAGTTGGTTCTTTGAAGAAACAAGGAGGGTCACTGCAAGTTTAGGGCCTAGCCTGGTCTACATAGTGAGTTCCAGCCAGCCAGGTTACATAGTGAAACTTTGTTTCCATAGATAAAAGTAAAGATAAGAAAGAAAGTAAATAAATGGGCCCAGAGGTTGGGGGTGTAGCTCCAGCTTTGCATGGAAGGACCCTGGCTTCCATCCCAACACTAAAAAGGAAAGAGAGTAGCCAGAAAGTATATGTGGCTGTAGAAGTCAGAAGAGGGCTACAGACGGGGGATACAGACTGGGGACACCCGGGAGAGTCTTGTGTGGTGTGGAATAGTCTCTGTCTTGATCTGCTCTGGTTACATACAGTGTGCTTACAAGAACTCACAGAGCTCTGTGCTATCGGTGTGTGACAGCACACATCACTAACATAGCTTCCTCCATAAGCTTTTACTAATCAAAATGCTGGGGTGGGGGTGGGGGGAGAAGCTAGCTAGGTGGCTCAGTGGTTAAGGACACTTGTTGCTCTTGCAGAGGACCTAGGTTCAGTTCCCAGCATAGACATGGTGGCTCACAACCATCCACAACTCCAGGTCAAGGGAATCGGATGCTCTCTTCTGACCTCCGTGGGTACCAGCACACAGGTGGTGCACATGGATACACATAAAATGAAATTTTTAAATATGTTTTTAAAAAACCAGGCTCTGTCCACCACCCTACCCTGCTCCTGTGACAAGGGCTTTTCACCCTAGAGGGGTCTGCTGAGCAGGTGTCTGTTGCTGTCCCCCCCTAGAGCAGCCTGGCCCAATGGGGTGCATCAGCAGCCATGCAGGTGGTGTCCCGGCGGCAGAGTGAGGTGAGGGTACCCTGGCTGCACAAGCTGGCAGCCTCCCAGGATGAGAACCACGAGGACCAGACGGACACAGAGGGAGAAGAGACAGACGAGGAGGAGGAAGAAGAGGAATCAGAAGGCGAGGAGAACGAGCTCAGAGAGGTGACAAGAGAGAGAAGGCCTCACAGCTCATGTCGGGGGAGTGAGAAGGAGGGGAATGGGGTAGAATAAAGGACCCTGTCCCCAAATCACCCTCAAACCCACAGCCAACAAAGTATCACTATGTCACTCAATGGGCATCACAATATCAATAAAAGTAGGCAGGGCAGGGATTGTTGTTCCATTTTGTAGAGGAAGAGACTGGGGTTCAGAAAGAGGAAGTAACATGACCAGGGCCACTCCCTACAGCTAGGGACAGACCCAGTCTTAGATTTTTGCCTTCCTCCCTCCCTCACTCCCTCCATCCCTTCCTCGCTTTCAGCCTCCCTCCCTCCCTTCCTTCTTCCTTCCTCCCTCCCTCCCTCCCTCCCTCCCTCCTTCCTTCCTTCCTTCCTTCCTTCCTTCCTTCCTTCCTTCCTTCCTTCCTTTCTTCTTGTTTCTTTTGTGTCTACATTCCTTCTCTAGCTGGGGCGGTTGGTTGGGGAAAGGGTCAGAGGAGCTGATATAGGGCAGGGGCTAATGGTTCTCTGGCCCACAGGTAACAGCCCTGCCCAACCCGAGAGGCCTCCTGGGTGGTGTGGTACACACCATGCAGAAGACTCTCCGGAACACCATCTCAGCAGTGACATGGGCACCTGCGGCTGTGCTGGGCACGGTGGGAAGGATCCTGCACCTCACACCAGCCCAGGCTGTCTCCTCCACCAAAGGGAGGGCCATGTCCCTATCCGATGCCCTGAAGGGTGTTACGGATAACGTGGTAGACACTGTGGTACACTATGTGCCGGTGAGTCCTGCCCCAGGGCCACCTTCTGATTCCCAAGGTAGATTTGACTGATGTAGACCCTCTTTTCATCCAGTCCCTGGAGACCCTTCTCCAACCCTCAGCGCTCAGAACCTTCTTATACACTGATCTTTCCCAGCCCGAAGTACAGATGTTCACAGCCCTGACCTCAGATCCCCACCCCCACCCCACCCCCTGCCTTGTGCCTCCCACTTGATGATAGAATCATTTGTTTGTGTGTCCCTAGTGGCTCGGCCCTCCCTCTTCAGATTCTGGAGGAAGGGCCTTGGTAGGTTTACATGCCACCATCCAATAGGCTTTCAGGGTACCTTGAACAGTAGGCTATGCATCTGGGGACAGCAGCTGGCCCTATGTCAATTCTATCACCAACAGGGGGAGAAAAAAAAGAAAAGCCAAGGGACACTAATGCTGTCCTATTGGGAGTCCTTGAGACCCTCTCCAATGGAAGTTACAGGTTGAGCAGGCTGAAGGAGAGCTTAGTGGAACAGGCGACCCTAGATCTGGCCAGGGGAAAGGTTACTTAGTCATTGCTATTAAGAGCTTGGCAGTCAAGCTTACTTGTATTTGGTCCCAAACATACGGAAACTGGGAGAGGTGGCACGCTCCAAGGATGGGGACTCCTCCTTCTACCAGAGGCGATTAGAGCCCTTAGAACCCCAGGAGTCTCCCGGATCCCCACCCCCATCCTAATGGCCTACACCTCAGTCTGTGTCCCTGTGATGGCAGCCCCCCGGGAGAACCAGGCCAAAGGTCACAGAAAGGGTGGTGACTCCTTGGAGAGGGATCCCTAACAAGGGTACCCGGATGTCAGCTTCCCAGGCTGTCCTTGATGGAGCCCGAGAGTGAATTCCGAGACATCGACAACCCTCCAGCAGAGGCGGAGCGCAAAGGGTCGGGGGCGCGGCCCGCCAGCCCGGAGTCCACGCCGCGCCCCGGCCAGCCCCGCGGCAGCTTGCGCAGCGTGCGGGGTCTCAGCGCGCCCTCCTGCCCGGGCCTGGACGACAAAACCGAGACGTCAGCGCGTTCCGGCTTCCTGGCTATGCCCAGGGAGAAGCCTGCGCGCAGGGTCAGCGACAGCTTCTTCCGGCCCAGCGTCATGGAGCCCATCCTGGGCCGCGCGCAGTACAACCAGCTGCGCAAGAAGAGTTGAGCAGCCTGCGCCTCTGCTCGCCCCGGCGCCACCCCACAGGAAGGTCGCTTCTGCCCAAGGGTGGCCTCTTAGGAACCCGAGCCACAACCCCACGATGCTCTCGAGGAACACATCATTTCTAAAGCATCCTTTGGGGGCTTGACCATCAGAGCCAGTATTTAAGGGGCACCAGAGCAGCGGTCGACTCTCTTCTCCTCTCTCGTTGGCAGAATCTCTTATGGCTTTTTTTTTTAAAAAACTATAAAAGCAATTGCTTAATTGGATTTCTCACTTCTTTAACAAAACTTGTTGCCAAGTGACACCTGGCTAGTTCTAAAATTCCCTTCTCTGTGGACATGCATTTATTGCCAAAAGAAGTGGGTCAGTTGACAGTTCCTTTTCTTTCCTTTTCCTTTCCTCTTGTCTTCCTTCTCCCTCTATTCTTCTTTCCTCCTCCTCCTCCTCCCCCTCCTCCCCTCCTCATTCTCTTTTTCTTCTTCTCCTCTCCCTCCTCTCTTCTCCTTCCTCTCCTCTCCCTCTTCCTCCTTCTCCCTCTCCTCCCCCTCCTCCCCCTCCCCTTTTTCAATAGTGTCTCCCTATATAGTCCAGGCTGGTTCCATTTCCAGTGCTAGGTGATCCCCTTTCTGGCCAGCTCCCTCTGAATGTCAGGAATTCTCAGTGCATTTTTATTGCTGAGCTGTGACATCCTCTGATTACCTAGCTCTTAGCACACTGCTTTGAAAGAGCAGCTGAGGTTCTGATGCCTTGACATGTTTATTTAGATAACAGCTCCGGTTTCTGAGTCTCTCTCCCCTGCACAGGTGGAGCCTCCGGCCTGTCCTCTCTAGTGCCAGCTTTTGGACAACCGCTTTTCCATGGCATCACTCCGGCCTGTGTGGTCACCCTGGAAGGCTGAAACCCCAGATGCTGGGAACCAGCGGTGGTTGCCTTTTGCTTAATACAGTGTATATTATATAGAGCACATATCCTTAGCCACTGTTCATTCCAAATCCCATTTCTGGAAATACCAATACTTGTTCAATCTAGAAAATTCATAATATATACTTGTAACGTTTAAACATTACAATGTGTGTGTGTGTATATATGTATTTCTTTATGGATTTCTTGGTTCTCTTCCATAAGACCAGCCACAGTTCGGTGTGTTCTTCCAGCATATACAGCGCTTGGGCAAGCACGTGTGTATAAACCCTTATCTTTGCTTAGGTCCTCTGCAAGAGCAATGAGTGTCCTTAACCTCTGAGCCTTCTCTCCAGCTCCTCAACTGCACATCTTATCCGTGGTTTTGTACCAGTATCAGAAGCCCTACTTGCTCTTTTGAGTGGTAATCCATAATATGAATTTAATATGGATAATTTGGTGTAGTTACCTTCCTAAGAATGAACTTTTAGGTTGTTTCCTTTTCCCCCACTGTAAACAGTAAGCCTGGGAAGCAGCCCATTGGTAGAACATATGCTTAACATGTGCAAAGCCCTGGGTTTGATACCCAGCAACACACACACAGAGTTTTATGCGTGTGTGTGTGCGGACAAATTATAACCTGTAACTATGATATTCTTGATGAAATATATAATTTGCAATACCAATGATTCTAGGTAACTTTTAAAGGAAACTCTATTTTATTCAGTTATTGTCATCTTAGAAATGTACGTAAACCATCAGGACACACCTGTCATTTAGGTATCCATATACCACTAGACCCTATCAGAGTCCCTCAGACCCATGAGTAACTTCTTGGCTCCAGCTATGTGGTACCGTATGGTTGACCCCTGAGCTTTGGCACATTTTCGTTGTAATGAGTTTTATACCTTAATCCATGGTTTGGGAGTTCAAGGATGCCAAAAATAGGGACAGGGGCATGCACGTGTGAACATGACTAGCATACCTCTCCAAAGTACACACCACACTCACCAATGCTCTGAACTGTAGTGGGTATGGACCTGGCAAGAGGGGTCCTTAGACACTGGTACACAGAAGCAGTCTGTCTCTGGCAGAGCTCCATGGGCAGTGGCTGGATGTGCAGACAGGAATGCAGGCTCATCCTGGGTCTCCCTATCTGTGCCTGGCAGCCCCACCCACCCTGGACTTTCCCCATCTACCTTGAATGCCTCCTACCCTTGTTGGACTTCCCTACCTACCCTGAGATCATCTACAACACTGCAACAAATCACCCTGAGAAAGGCTCAGGACTGCACCAAGGTCTGGAACACCCAGTGGAGTCATCGGCTGCCTAATAAAGACTGTCCTATTAACTTAAACCCGTGTCTTCACTGACACAGGTATAGTGTCACATGTATTTCTCCAAATATTTTCATATTCATATCATATTCATATTCATAAACTACATTTGAGTATTTTTAAAAAATGTTATTTAAGTGGAGATTCAATTTTTCCATCCATGTGGAGAACTAACTGGAGACCTGTTTCTCAGAGATCAGCTGGAAATTTCTGACCCAGTGCTGTCTGGTACCTGGTTAGAATCAATAGACCGAGTTCTATTTGGTGTCTTGGGGAGTCTGACTTGCTGCCATTGATCAATGTCGTGTTATACAAGTCTAGCTTCTAGTGGATTCTATTTCTGTAGGACTATCTGACTCACAGTGGTTTCAGCTTCTACATCTGCTTAGGCATCCCCACACTGCCCGTTGGCAGGAGTGACCTTGCTATGCCCTGCACTTTGCTTTTTCATGTAAGTAATTATCTTAGTTAGGGTTTTACTGCTGTGAACAGATACCATGACCAAGGCAACTCTTATAAGGACAACATTTAACTGGGGATGGCTTACAGGTTCAGAAGTTCAGTCCATTATCATCAAGGCGGGAACATGGCGGCATTCAAGCAGGCATGGTACAGGAGGAGCTGGGAGTTGTACCTCTTGTTCTGAAAGCAAACAGGAGGAAACTGGCTTCCAGGCAGCTGGGATGAGGGTCTTAAGGCCCACACCCACAGTGACACATCCTCCAACAAGGCCACGCCCACTCCAAGAAGGCCACACCTCCAAATAGTGCCACTCCCTGGGCCAAGTATATTCAAACCACCTCAGTTAGAAAACCAGCTTACTAGAACTTCGGACTTTTAGGTCTACCACTTTCAAACCATTTGGATGTTTCTTTCCTCCCCTAACCTCTCTCCATGCCATCCTCTTTACCCTCCCTCCCTTTCCCTCCCTCCTCATCACTCCTTCTTTCCCATCCCCTTCTTTCTTGATTCTCATATAGCCTAGGCTGGCCTCAAACTTGCTCTCCAGCTGAAGCCCAAACTCCTGATTCTTTTGCTTCCACCTTCTCAGTTCTGGGATTAGAGGCATGTTACCACACCCATGTTACCACTCCTAACAACACACACACACACACACACACACACGCACGCACACAATTATTCTAGTTCTTGACCTAATGTCTGGAACTATGTGTTTTGAATTCGGGATGGTTATAAAGAGCACAGTTTGAACAATGGGATGTCATGTTAAATTGTTCCACATGAGTGTTGGTGGAAACCATTACCTGCCCACTGGTAAGGCTCGGGCAAAGTTTACTTCTTTGTAAAGTCATGAATTTGTATGGACAGTTCCAGTGACGTCTAACGCCACAGAATTCCACAATTTTACCGTAACATTAACAGCTTTAGTGTTACCTTCCCTGTAACTTAATTACTGTAATTGCTATGATAATTATAATCATAACTCCTCTGGAAAATGTGATGTTCCATCCATCACCTTCCGTGATGTTTATGCAGCTTTAGCGGCTGGCTTCTTCGCATCCACAGCCTAAATGGATCTCTTTGGCTGTCTCTGTGGCAGGCTGCTTTGCATTTTTGCGTTACTCCTGCGCAGTTCTCCAACTGGCTGAGAATATCCGGGACTGACAGTGCAGTTCCTCAGCATGCTGGACAGCACTCTGGCTGAGTCTACAGTTCCCTATTGCTTTATCTCCTTCATGGAACTGTAGTTTATAGGAAGCGCCACCGCGTCCGGCAGCTCCCGCGCATCTAACAGAGAGCTGTCTGGTGTCCTCCTGGTGGCCCTTCCTCATACTGGAGTCAGCTGGCCATCTGCTCCTCTGAAAAGTCTAGGATATGGTTGTGGATGGCTTCTCAGTATCCATGTTGTCTCCTGAGGCCCTGTAGGCCCATCACCTTGCCAGTGATTAGCTCAGGGATGAACAGACCTAACCATGTGACATACAGGAAATGAAGGAAAGAACACAGGAACAGTTCGCTTGATCCTAAGAGCACTCCACACCACATGAAGCTCCCTTGTTCCTCTGGGTGCTTAGTGTCTGTAAATGACAGAGCATTCATGTGTAAGAACAGGTACTGTTGCCCCGGACTCAACCTGCTGGGGACTGTTAGGCTGGAACCCCCTGCTCATCCCCTGCACAAGCTGGGAAACCCTGCCCTCACAGAGAACATGTAATGACTCCTTGGCTCTCTGTTTCCAGCAACCCACCCAACAGTGCCCAGCCATGTGTTCAGTGTTTGACCCTGTATGGACACCATCCCAGCTCCTTGCTGGTTCGTCGTCACTCCTCGCCTAAACTCTATAAAAGCCCCTTGCTTTAGCCCGGATGTGTGACTTCACTGACCTCCACCTGTGAGATCGGTGAACCCACCTGAGAGCTGCCTCCTAATAAACCTGCCTGTATCTACTTTTAATCTGGCCTAATCTGGCCTATATCTGTGTCACAGAGGGAGAGAATATGCCTAACAGGGACCCACACACACACTTATCTTACCAGTGAGACACCATATGGCCTCATTATTGGCCTCACTTCAAGCTGTGTTTCTACTGTTTGGGGCTGAGGGTTTTCTCATAGATCTGGAAGATCTGGAAATTTCTGAAGCCTTTAATTATGCTGCCTTTATAACAGGCAGTCATCTGAATATGTACGTTAAATTTTGTTTTTCTTTAGTGGTGTTTTAAGAGATAAATATGTATTCTGAGATGCTGGTTATCTGTGGTACCTAGGATGGAAACCAAGCCCTCTCTCATGCTAGGCCAATGCCCCACTCCTCCGCTCCCAGTCTGCTTCCCAGATTTTTTATTTTTGTGTTTGTCCAGAGGCTACAACACTTCTGTAGCCCAGGACTGTGCTGATCTCGCCCTGCACAAGGATTCTGCAGAGTGCTGGGATTACAGGCATGGGCTAGGGTGAGTGCATCCTAGCCTGGATTCCAGATTGGAATTAAAAATTCAACAATGCATGGTGTTTCCAGTGGGAACAATCCCTTGAAGTCAAAGAGACGGACAGCCCGCATCACCTCTCTGGATGTCAAGTGTCCCTTAACAGTGACTCTAAAATGCCATTTCATCTCAGAAATCCTAAAATGTGATAGTTAGTTTTAGAATTGAGGGAAGGTGGTTTTGTTGTTACGTTTTGTTTTTAATGAGGATTATGGCTTAACCTTGGGAGCAGAAAGAAAGAAGTGGGTCTATGAGAGGGGCAGATGTCTGGTGTCAATTTCGCAGA